GAACTCTACCTTTTCTTACCACAGGGACAGTTCTGCAAAAGTATCACACACTTCAGTATCAGTGGTGGTGTTCTCTTTCACACGAGGAAAATAGGAGGGAAAGGGGAAAGAAATCACGCATATGGGCTGCATCAAAAGAAGCGTGGCCAGCAGGTCGAGGGAGGGGATTCTGCCCCTCTACTCTGCTCTGGTGAGACTCCTCCTGGAGTACTGCGTCCAGCTCTGGAGCTCTCAGCATAAGAAAGACACGGACCTGTTGGAGCGGGTCCAGAGGAGGGTCACAAAAATGATCAGGGGGATGGAACACCTCTGCTATGAAGAAAGGCTGAGAGAGTTGATGTTGTTCAGCCTAGAGAAGAGAAGGCTTTGGGGAGACCTTATTGCAGCCTATCAGTACTTAAAGGGGGCTTATAAAAAAGATGGCGGCAACCTTTTTAGCGGGGACTGTTGCGACAGGACAAGGGGGAATGGCTTTAAACTAAAGCAGGGGAGATCTAGACTAGATATAAGGAAGAAAGGTTTTATGCTGAGGGTGGTGAAACACTGGCACAGGTTGCCCGGAGAGGTGGTGGATGCCCCATCCCTGGAAACATTCAAGGTCAGGCTGGACGGGGCTCTGAGCAACCTGATCTAGTTGAAGATGTCCCTGCCCATGGCAGGGGGGTTGGACTAGATGACCTTTAGAGGTCCCTTCCAACCCAAAATATTCTATGATTCTATATATTCTTTGTTCATGTATGTTCTTGAATACAAAGATCCAAACTCTTGTGGTGTTGTAATGAGAGAGTTTTGCGCTGGTTTATTTTATTCACCAGCTTCCTTCCCCCTCTGCAAATGCATGCAGAAACCCAGAGGAGCAACGTTGGCATACTGAGTGTGCACAAAGATTATTCTCTGCCTGGGTTTTAATGAGACTGATGGCTTGACTGCAGACTTAGCTGAACTGGGAAAAAACATTGATTTGCTTTTTATTTATTTTGAAAGTCTCCCTCTTTCTTCAAGCCCTTGAAACACTTTTGCCAGTGCTGCTCAGTGTTGACGCTGTTCTGAAGGGATTCAGTTGTATTGACTGTGGAAGCATTCAGGATGCTGTCAAGGTATAGCCTTAGAGCAGTGCCAGTCTGGGCGATAGTAGTTGTCTTTATTCAGAGGGGTCAAACTGTATGAGAACCAAGTGCAACAATCTCTGTAGGCCTGTGTACATCTACACATGTGAAAGCTATCTCCAGGGGAATGCTGTAAAGATGTGTGTAAGTGTTTATATGATCAAGGAAGTTAATGCCTTTGTTTATGCCTTTTTTGGGAAAAATAATCATTTCTTCACCTTTATATTTTATTTCCAGTAGAGCAGAATATAGCAAATTTCCATATGTATGTGGTATTTTTCAATCATGATGCAACTCCTAAGAAAACACAGTACCAATATAACAGTATGGCACAAGTAATGTCAAATTGTAATTGCTGAAAAATAAAACTGTTCCTGACTCTTCACCGAACAAATGTCCTTTAGTGTCTGCTTAAACTTTCAATTTTGCTGATCAGTGGTTCTTTGTATGTAAGAAATCTATGATCCTTGTGTAAGGTCATTATCGAATAAAATAAATATTGTAAAAATATTTAAAAGATAAATTATGTAAAAAATATTGTAAAGAGTACTACTTTTGCCCATGGAAAAAGCCTGAAGACCCAGATATATTGTCTGTTAAATTACTTTTAAAGAAATCCTCCCTTCCCAAATAAGTTTTGTCCCACGTGTGGGCAGTCGTGTGGGTTTTCCCCTTCTTTTAAGTGAAGTAGGCTTCTCTGGGTATCAGCCTGCCTCCCTCTGGCTGACCTGCCCACCTGTAATACATTCCCCCCCCCAGGATTAGGAAACTGGACAGAATTGCCAGAGATGCAGTAAAACTTTGGACCATTCAAAGAGTGAGTTAAGCAAGGAACCAGCAGTTTCTTTCTGTTAATTTGATTTCCAGGGCTGATGTTCACCCAGAGTAGGATTAAGAACCGCCTTTGCTCAGGGCCTGAGCCAGGATGGCTTGGCCCTGGCTGGAGTGCCCCTTTAAGGTGTAAGTGCTGGCCCCCCATTTCATGTGTTTTGCACCGATCTAGGCTCCAGGTCTGCTGTGTTAAAGCATCTTTTGGAGTTTGAGGGTTGGTGCATCTGGCAGTGTAGACAGACCTGACAGACCCAGAGGCAGCCCAAACCACGTATCACATTGGTCAGAAGTTCTTTCTTTATTCAAATATACTTTCAAACCATCTGCTTTCAACACACAGAGAAATGCTCTGAGTTATCGATTGTCTCTTTTTCACAAGGCTGTTTCTATTGCTGCCATATTCAGAAACAAATGGGCTGTCTGTAGTATAACTTAGTCATCATTGATACATTCAATACCAGACATGCAGGTAAGGTTTTTTGAAAGTGCTTAAGAAAGCTGCTAGTCAAGTTCTACTGATGCACAGGGAAGTTGGGTGAATTATTTCTGGGTGCTTATGAAAAGCCCACTTATGGGTATTAGAAAACTGATTTATGTTCATAAAACTCCGCTCTTTGCAGACACAATGTGGCTTAAAAGAGCATCTTAATGGAGTCTAGCTAGAATCTAAAATTAATATTTCTTTCTCTTAAAGAGAGCTTTTGCTTTCTAAAAGGCACAAAAATAGTGCCTAGAATAAGGAAATAAGAGATTCTGTCTGATAAGGTCATGCAAGCCTTCATCCACTAGAATTACCATGTGGTACCACTCATTTTCTTTACTTTGCACTTTACTCTGTGCTTTCTTTTGATATGAACAAACTGATACACGATTTCCAGCCCATAATTAAGCACCTGATTTAAACTTAGAGGTACGCAATTTTGTGTATGAATTTACATACAGGTTCTTGCATTAATGGTGGAAACTTACATAGGGTTGCTCCAAGGACAGCTAGGTGAGTTCACCTCTCAGATCTCCTGTGATGCACCAGAACAAGGGTCTTCCTCTGCAGAAGATGGCAGGTAACTATGTGTTTTGTATTCACATGCGGAGGTGTATGTAGGACTGGTTAAAATGAGGGATGGTAAAGGAAATGTGACCGATGCTTTGAACCGTATTGTGCACTGAAATACATGGAGGCATTTATACAACCCCTTGTGGATTATGTATCGTCCCTGTTTACCAGCTGCACACAGAGCACACACTTTCTCTTTATTCCTACTTCGACTTTGCTAGGTATAGTAAATTGGTATGTCTTAGATTCTTCCACCTCTTTACTAGTGCTCTTTACTTGCCAGATACATACATCTTGAAATTGTGATTATGCCTGCTTTTTACAAATTCTTGTCCTCAGAAGGACTCGGATTGATTTCAATACACATGTAGTGTACATTCATCTACACTGTGTGAAGCTGGGAGAGAATATGAACACGTTTACGGAATCTGTAGCAATTCATAAGGTCCTGATTGAGATCTAAGAGGTTGGAATCATTCATTATATGAGCCTGAAGTAAAAATAAATTGTTTAAGGTTATGACCATTCAGAAAAAATCTTTTCACGCAGCATTTCCTTTACCAGGTGAAATGAAACTTCCCACAAAATGAATTGTATGGAATAAGTTAAAAAAAAGAGTAATGTTTTCTGAGTCTAGTGTAGCACTTTGTTCCCTTGGCAGTTTCTTATGTTAAATCCCACACATGCAATTCCCACAATGTGGTATGAGGACACAGGGATTTAACTTCCTTTTTCTTTTTTCAACAGATAAAGTTCCTTATCATAGAGAGGTATAGAGAGTCCTTCAAAAGGGCTAATACAGGCTTATTGAATATCAGCAAACATTGTAATGCAGTGATGTCTTTCCAAAAATTACTTATAGCTACATTTCCATTCTCTTTAGACTCCACAGAGGCACAGGCATTAGATTTCAAGCTGAGATTTCTATTTTTAGAAAGGCAGTAAGTTTCATTAGCAGTTTCTCCAGGCTGGCTGTAATTCTGTCTGAACTGAATGGAACTGAAAGAATGAAGTCATCTCATTCATTAGTTTCTTTAGATGTGCACCATTTAAAATGGCACTGGTTTGCTGGGCTTTATTTAGCTTGACTGTAGCTTGCACTCAATCTAGTTGTAATGAGAAGACAATAATGTCATGTTTCAAAGTAAAGGCAGCATTCATCCATTGCATTCTTTAGCAGAAGTGGCTTGCTAAATCCTACAGTTAAATAATTGTAAGTCAGATCTCAAAGATTCAAGAGATTCATGTAAATCATAAATAAATTTTAAAAAGGTTTTTTTTTGTCAGTTTCAAGGACTTTTGGGTTACATACAGACCACATACTTCAAACCCTTTCTCTGTAGCTATGTGAGCTTTGCAATCCCTTTAAAAATCGTAAAATTAATCTGAAACTCTCCCATGTTCACTTGACACCAGGAACATAAAATACTTGCTAAATCTCCAGGATGTCAAATTTAAAATAAAAAAAAAAAAAAATCACTCTGTACCTAATAATGATGTGTGCATTTATTATATGCGTATTTATTCCTTAGATTCAGCAAAGGTAGTATTCTGAATGTTAGTGAATTTGATGTGTTTGTTAAGAAATATTGTGGTATGCTATGGCAATTTTAAGTTGACTGCTGTCAATAGTTATTGGCATTTCCACTTGTTCTCGTATTAAAAGATTGAATAAACAGGAATTTATTTCTTATGTGCTTCCCTATTTTGAGTGGTGTCACATCACCCTTTCTTCAAGACCAATTAAAGGTGACACACCACTGTTAGGAATTCTTGTATGCTTGTACTTAACAGAAGACTTCTTACTGGAATAGAAGAGGTCTTTTTTAATCACCATGATCATATCTGGTTCCTATAAAAATTTGATAATCACTTAGAGTTGGGAGTTTCATTCCCATCTCATTGTAATAAAATTATCCTGTGACAGCTGGCTTTAGATGGCAAGCTGAGTTACATTTCAATTTAGAAGCTAAATATATAGTCCAGTTATCAACCCGAAAATCTTGGAGTTCATCTCTGTCAGTGCTGTTTGTGTCACCCTGAGGAAGTTTCTGCATTTTTCTGCACTTTGGTTTCCCATGTATAGAAAGAGATTCTTATTCTTCTACTTCATGGTGCACAAATACATCCCAGGTTATAATCCTTGCTCATAATAACAGTCCTGGTTTATCTGATAGTGGTAATATAGGTCTGAATGATTCTGCTGCCATCCAACTGAGCATAATTTTTCTCACTATTCTCACTTTGAACAAAGTAGAAAAAAATATGGTAACTTGTATAAATCCGACAGCTCTGACATCCAGTAAAGAGAGGTGTTCCTTGTTTAATATATATTTTAGTATTAAACATTTGAAACTTGATTTTTATCTTACATCAAGCTCTTACAATTCATACTTATGAAATATTCAACAGAATTAATGAAACAGGGGATTGCAAAAAGCTGCTAGGTGACTCATTAAGATGTATATCCTTTAACTTTCAAAATTCTTAGTTAGGAACATAAATTGAAAGTCCTGAAACATGAGAACATGTTTCATGAGAACAGCTGTACTGGGTCAGATGGATTTTGTCTCTAATAATGGCAATATTATGTGCCTGGGAAGGATTTATAGCAATATATACTTCTTAGGTATATATATTTTTGAGAATTTTTTGACTGATATTTTTGGATGTAGAGTTGACTACCTAAGTATTCAATAATCCCAAATGGATTTTTTCATTCTGACTAATTAAATGTACCAAATTACCAAATGCCAATTATATAACCTTCAGAATATCTTGAAGATATTTAAAAGTATCGATGAATTAATCTTCATAAGGTACAGAAACATGAATGTTATTTTAAAAATGGAGGAAAAAGTGAAGAAAAGTGACTCATGTCCTGTCATGTAGAAGTTTGGTAGAAAATAGATTATTCTGTGGTATTGATACGGGAGAGAATACTGTCAGTAGAACACCCCTGGAAATGATCTGGCAATTAGAAGAAAAATAGTCAGAACTTATCATGGATCTTTGAACTTTGCCGTTATTAGTGTTGTGTTTTCTTAAATAGTTCTTACCTCACTAAAACACCATTCTCCTGTTGCTGATTTTTACGCTGGTTTCATAGAATCATAGAATAGTTTGGATTGGAAGAGACCTTTAAAGGTCATCTAGTCCAACCCCCCTGCAACGAGCAGGAACATCTTCAACTAGATCAGGTTGCTCAGAGCCCCGTCCAGCCTGACCTTGAATGTTTCCAGGGATGGGGCACCTACCTTTCTTTGGGCAACCTCTTCTAGTGTTTCACCACCCTCAGCGTAAAAAATTTCTTCCTTATATCTAGTCTGAATCTACCTTCTTTTAGTTTAAAACCATTACCCCTTGTTCTACCACTACAGGTCCTGCTAAAAAGTTTGTCCCCATCTTTCTTATAATCCCCCTTTAAGTACTGAAAGGCCGCAATAAGGTCTCCCCAGAGCCTTCTCTTCTCTAGGCTGAACAACCCCAACTCTGTTTCAGCCTGTCCTCATAGGAGAGGTGTTCCAATCCTCTGACCATTTTTGTGACCCTCCTCTGGACCCGCTCCAACAGGTCCATGTCTTTCCTGTGCTGAGGGCTCCAGAGCTGGATGCAGTACTCCAGGTGGGATCTCACCAGAGCAGAGTAGAGGGGCAGAATCACCTCCCTCGACCTGCTGGCCACGCTTCTTCTGATGCAGCCCAGGATACGGTTGGCCTTCTGGGCTGCGAGCGCACATTGCTGGCTCATGTCCAGCTTTTCATCCACCAGTATCCCCAAGTCCTTCTCAGCAGGGCTGCTCTCAATCCCTTCATAGAATCCAATTCCTAAGGAGTTAGTTTGATTCTTAATAACTTATTGCCAGCTGCAGCCTAATTTAATGGTAGAAAACTCACAGATATTTGCATGAAATACGTAGGAACTTAATCCAGAGATGCAGGCACAGACAGACCTTATTTTTCTCCCTGCTAGGGTTGAAGCACTCCTTATTGCACAATGGATAAGCCACACTGGGGAGAAACGATTGAAAATGCCTCAAGATCCTTCACTGAGCATTAGCTGGACCTCATGTATACTATAAGAACAAGGAATTTAAGCTGAAAAAAAAAATATCCAAAGACATTATATGTCGTTAATTCTATTGTTCACACCCAGTCCACCTGCACAGAAATTTTTGTGAGTTTCTGAAGAAAGAGCACGTGGCTAAGACACAGCTCACTGAGGTGCTACCTGGCATGCTAGCATTTGCATTTAAATAATAACTCATGGTGTAGTAATTCTGTGGAGAGAAGACTGTTGCTGGGTTAAGCCCAATCAGCTGCCTTGTTCCCTCTCATTATACTGTTCCAATCACTTCTCATCCTACCAGTCAGGCATTTGCAGAAAAATCCCAGAGCCGTTTTAGTAACTTGAGCAAAGTTATGTTCAGTACTCTCTCAAACGTCATTTGCTTTTTCAAGACATGCACAGCTTCAGTCACAGTGTCCCTTTTGAAAGCTCTGTTAATCCATTTCCATACAGTTACTCTTCTTGCTGGGTTTTTACCACAGCCTTCCTTAGTTCAGAATTCACCACGTGGCTGCCAGTCGCTCTCTGCTAAGAAAGTCCAACTGCGCAGTAAAAAAGTGCACCACTGAATTGAACTGCTGATTGCACTGTCAGCAATGGCATTTTTTAAAGTTCAAACCTGTGTTACAATCATTAATCTAATGAGGCATTTTCTAGATGTGTAACATCATGTGCTGCTCATGCTGTGAGCTGTTTACCCACGTTTCTTCTAAGAGGAAGTGTTGATAAAGACTGTTCAGGTGTGTAGGTGTGAGGTTTCTAAATTATGTAAGGCAGATGTGTGTTTCTATGTGGTCACCAGTCAATGTGTCTGGCGCACTTACTAGTGTGCATCAACAGTGCTGCTGCTTCTTCCTAAACAGTTGCCTCAGGTCTGTGAAAATTATTTGCATTTAGTTCTTTGCAGTTTTTCTGGCACCTGAACAGTAGTTAGGGCTGTACCACATCAGTGCAAAAGTACAGGCGTCTCTCTTCCAGTCTGTATCTGGAAGAAGCTTTGAGAGTGTTTCAGAAGTGTTTGTTTTTCCTCGCAGACATGACCAAATGGCATTTCTAGTCACTGCATTTCCTTCTTTCTTGTTCAGTGAAGTCTGACTTGTGCTGTTGCATCTGTTGCAAATTCCCTAGGGATCCCAAATATTCACGTGTCCATCCCTCTCTTGCTGTGTGCCAAGGAACTCTCCAGGCTAGCCACAGTGAGCAGAAGGCTCTTCTTTTACACAGCACCCTGTTGCAAAGAGCTCCTAAGCTAACCTGAGCATCCTGGCACACCTTGGCTGCCCTGAAGAGTAGTACTGGGTAATGTGAGAACCTTTCCCTTTTGATTATCTCAAAATCAGTGTCCTGTAAGCCAGTTTATGGCAAGTATAAAGGATGTAGTTGCAAAAATTAAATACAGGCAGCTGCCAGGAGTGCGTGGGAGATGGCAGCACTTCTTTCCTCCACTCAGCTGGTGGCTCCCATTCCTGGGGCAGGGAGAAGGTGGGCTGCTGCATGCTCTGAAGGCATGCCTTGCATGCCCAGCCAGGCTGGGCAGCCCTGCTCTGCCCACCTCCACAAAGAGCAAAGGGCTGCCCTCTGAGAGGTGCCCAGCCAGCCAGCAACATGATTAAATGCTGTCCTCATCAGGATTTGATCAGAGGGTTAAGGGTTGAACACCCCTAATTGTATTAAAAGCACAACAAAAAGAGACTTTTGCTCTCTCTGTTCTTACACTGGGGCATATGGCTTTGATGCAGATGATATTCTTCCTGTTGTGGTATACCAGCTACTAGGAAGAAAATTAACTCTGTCCCAGCTGAAACCAGGACACTCCCCTTTCCAGTAATGAGTAGTATAAAAGATAAACGTTTTCATGGGGGCATCTTCCCCCCCCCCCCCCCCCCCATATAGTAACAATGACATTAATTTTTTAGAAAGGATCGATTTGACAACCAATTTTTAAAGTAAGTATTTCTAAATATAACAATGACTTACAAAATTAATAAGAGAAGAAAGTATGCTAAGGAGGGATCATTCTGTATATACTCTGTTTCTTATGCTTCTTCCTAATGCACCTGTACTATTTCCTGCCAGAGACAAGATGCTGCACTAGGCAATCTGCCGGTCCATTAAGAACATAAAAAAAAAAGCATATGGCATAGTTAAGTGATCTTCCATTATGCATTTCCTGTGGCTAAGAGAAAAACAGGCATTCACCCTAAGCACTGTTTTCTATTTATACCTATTAAAGCTGCATTATTCTTTTGAATAAAACGTGAGTGGGAAAACTTCATTGGCTTGGATTATGCCATTTTCTGCAGAATGAAACACAAGTCAAATTATGTCAGTGAATAATAGTCTAAAGGTTTTGAACAAATGTGGAACATTATTCATCCTAATTTAAAAAAATGCATAAAGCTCTGTTTCTGTAATGAAATTGCCATCAGGACAAACACATTAGAGGTACAGAAACAGAATTCACATTCAAAAAGCAGTAGCTGCCTGCATGCTATTAAGATAAGGAAACAATATATTTCCAGCTGAGTGACCGTACTTCCTTGTGGTCCATTAGACAAGCAGAACTTACAGCTCATTCCAGCCTACATGTAATTCCAGTAGAAAAAACAAAACATGATGTCAAAACTGGGGAGTCACTGATGGCTTTAGCCCAGCACAGGAACAAACTCAAATGGGACTGACAGTGATAGAGAATATTGCTTTAGACCCCAAGGATGTTTAATTCAAGTAAAAGTCTTTTGAGAACATTTGGGATGGCAGTATGATTCATTAGTTACACTGTACAAGCACTATGCTGTACTGCATGAGAAATGTTATCAAGCTTTCAGAACCACAAACTGGTCTGAGCTAAAAAGACAGAACTGAGCAACTGGGAATATGTGCTGGAGAGCCAGGAATAAATGCTGGATTTGAAACTATACATAAGATACCTGTAAAGTGCACAGATCTTA